CCTCCGTGGTGTAGTGGTTAGAGCATCCGCCCGGAGAGCGGAAGGTCGCGGGTTCGATCCCCAGTCACGTCATACCAAAAGACGTTAAAATATGGTACTTGTTGGTCTCTGTCTGGTGCTCAGCATTAATGGGTACAACAAGGACTGGTTGGCTTGGAGTCAGTATAATGTGTCTGAGTGGGGTATTCATGCTTCACTGCGGCATGGTATCTCAGTGGGCTAGCACTATAAAACCAGCTTAAGTCTGGGCTAGTACAAGCAGCCGCACATACACATACACACACATGCACGTCGTCATATGAGCGAAATATTCTCAAGCACGACGTAAAACCCAATTTCACCTCACCTATTAGTGAGTGAAGAAGTATGGTTTTTCCCCGCTTTTAGCAATAGCCCACAATGTCATGGCGAGGGACACCAGAAATGGGGCTGAAGGGATCGTTGTCGGCACAGGTACTACAGATATGTACCCCAGGTACGTTTCTGTATACAGAAATTGACCCTAATCAAAGTCAGAATACAGAAACTTACCCTGTACCCTTAATGGCGAAGGGTCCATATTCCTCAATCCAAAACCAAAACCGAAACCATATGTAGTTGGTCCTGTTCACCTGATTACAAGTGGTATTATGCATCGCAAAATATTGTGGACTTTCATTTTGTACATAACGCAATTAAATGTATCTAATACAACAGTATGACAGTTCCAGTCAAGAACAGGGATGGAAATATCCCATTGCCCGACGCCCCGAGTCCAGTGTTTTGTTGTTTTTTTCTGTCGGGCAAGCAAATTTGTATATCACACTGTACCGGTGTCCAGTTGACTTTCCAATATTAATTATGTTGTTTATTTCAAATATCAACAAGAAAACGGCCGGTATAGTGGAAAAATGATCAGGGCAAGTGATTTTACATGTGCCACTGTACCGGAGTACACTAGCAATTTTAAAGTTATTTCCACCCCTGAAGAATACGACACAGTGGGAATGGAATCGTCCTCGGCTACGTTTCTGTATTCTGATTATGGCCAGGGTACGTTTCTGTGTACCTGGGCTACACATCTGTAGTAAATTCGCAAGCTGACAGCTTAATTCTTCAGCAGAAATGGGCTGTGAAAACACATTGTACCATGTGGAAATTGAACTCAGGTTTTCGTGAACAAGCGTAAGGCTTTACCCACTAGGCTACCCGTCACCCAGATTATTTCTAGGTTTTTTTAAAACAGACTAGTGGCAGTACCTTATATATCAGACCGCCTCCGTGGTGTAGTGGTTAGAGCGTCCGCCCGGAGAGCGAAAGGTCGTGGGTTCGATCCCCGACAGCGTCATACCAAAAGACGTTAAAATATGGTACTTGTTGGTCTCTGCCTGGCGCTGGGCATTAATGGGTACAACAAGGACTGGTCGGCTTGGAGTCAGTATAATGTGTCTGAGTGGGGTATTCATGGTATCTCAGTGAGCTAGCACTATAAAACCAGCTTCAGTCTGGGCTAGTACAAGCAGCCGCACATACACATACACACGCATGCACATCGTCATATGAGCGAAATATTCTCAAGCACGACGTTAACCCAATTTCACCTCACCTCACCTCACCTCACCTCACCTCACCTCACCTCACCATATATATCACTGCATATAAAGTAACCCCACATGTAAGGCATGTGTGAAGCCCATTTCTGGATTCGTGATATTACTGGAATATTGCTAAAAGCGGCGTAAAACTAAACTCACTCACCTCTCATGACAAGCAGGTGTTGCTGTAGACCAAATCTAACCTGAATCTTCATATAGGCAATTATTGGTATTTTTGCCATGATTGTCTACATAAGAGTTAAGTGTCGGCATTAATCTGGGTAATCTAGGTGATAGTTTCCATGGTCCAGTAACACTCACTCCTAGAACCTTCAAAATCAATGGGGGGCCGTGGGTTAACCTAATGGTTAAAGCGTTGGCTCGTCACGCCGAAGACCCGGGTTCGAATCCCCACATGGGTACAATGTGTGAAGCCCATTTCTGGTGTCCCCTGCCGTGATGTTGCTGGAATATTGCTAAAAGCGGTGTAAAACCAAACTCAGTCATTCAGTCAGTCAGTCAAAATCAATGGTTGTAGGTCCTGAGTATTGAGTAATTCAATTTAACAAACTTTTACAAAGACAAACATGTTTCAGTCATGCTTGGTCCAGGCCCTACTTAAAATCGAGCCGTCCTCTACTGTATAAATATACATAGTCTGCCTTTTGTTTAACACCAAACTGTGTTCAAGAGTGACGACACATATTGGGTTGTGTTTATAGCCTTCATTTTCTTCTTACGAGAAAAGACATTGAACAAAGAATGTTTGAGGATCTGATACATGCTGAGTGGAAAAATAAACCATTGAAAACATCCACTGCTGAGATATTTAATGTGTCCTCAACTAGCAGTGTTGTTGTTGATAGGTGGTGTTACGGGAGTTTGTTCCCTGTGAAATACTGTTCAAGCTGGTATCTCTCAATATTTTATACAAGCATGTGTTCCGTCATATCATTTACACAGGGTATGCAATTACTGAGGCAAAGAACATTAATTGATATACAAACATTTTCTACATTCTCTAAATGTGGAGTGTAAATATTATGTAAGGGAATGTAAATTATTTAAATTCAATTTGATGGAATTTAATTTAAATAACCTCTTGTGGGGTCACCACCTTCCCCATGATGCACCTGTACTTGCTAACATTACACTGGGTCTCTTTCTTTTCAAGATTTTGAAAATGGAAAAAACCCATCTTTTATGTTAACATAATTAAAAATCCTAAACATGCTAATCAGTGCTGAAAGAATTAAAAAAGAAAAGAAAATGTTTCAGTTGGTGACTGAAGAAAAGAATTTGTCTACATTAAAATGACACAATAGGATTGTCAGTCATGTGGAAAGAAACAAAACTGTTGTTTTATGCATGTTTTGTTTTGTTTATTGTTGATCACCACACTCACAATATTCTAACTATATGACGGCAATCTGTAACTAATCTAGTCGGGACCAGAAACAGTAAATTCTTATTTTATTATGAAGACTGTTTTCAAAAGTTAACATTTCTTTCGTGAAATTATATATACTCTCAAAAAAAACCCATATCAGAACTTAATTTTTAATTTATGAGAAAATTGGGAGATATATCGGAGCAAGTCATTGTTGATATGATGATATAAATGTTTTGAGAGTGCATCACCACCTGCACTTCCTTATGACCATAGTTGTTTGTACAGTAATCGCTCTTGAAAGATGGTTGGTGTATGACCTAAAATTTCATGTGTATGATTTTCATTTTCAAGCAAAAAAATGGCAAGAAACAAACACTAACAACTGAGTGATGCAAGATGATTGTCAAAATTAATGGTCAACAGTGATTTATCGATCTTCTTGAAAACCGTCAAAATCAAGAAGGACATGCACATGTATGGGGCTACAGCGTTGTGCACGTGCATCCTATGCAGGGCTCCAGATAATTTTTCAATATCAGGAGTACGTACTCCTTATTTGTTCAATATAGGAGTACTGGAAAACCTTAAGTGTACATTTAGAGTAGTGAATGGAAATTAATGAACTATCAGTAATCTTGTGTTTCGTTTCATATATGCACCACAATATTGCTACTCTTGTGTAAACAGTTCAATAAACAATAAAACAATACCTTTTTCAGATAAATACGTCTGTAAATGATTCTAAGACCGCACACCTTTGCTGTGGTGCGTATCTGCTACGTTTTCTAAATTGTTTCCTACCGTATCGTGCATATTTTTTATCCGTACATACGCCGATACGGCCCTTATCTGGAGCCCTGCTATGCGTTTTGTTTAGAGGTGGTGATAAAGAGAAATGGTGGTGCGTTCATAAGATGTCTGTCTTTGAAAGGTTTGTTCATGCTTATACTTCCTATCCAATTTGAAAGTTCAGGTTCCAGTGTTTCCGTTATATACCGGACTTTGACCGGTACAAAGTTAGAATGTCCGGTAATTTCAAAGGGAGTCGGTCATCGTGTCTGGCAAATTTTAAAATCAATTTTCGAATTACCTCTGTCACTTATATTTTGTCCTGGAAAAAAGATTATGTTTTCACAATGACATCAAGGTTTTGTCAAATAAAAAAATAGCAGTTTGGGAAAACCCCAGGCTAAAATTAGCTGCATTGACGCATTGTGATAACCTCTAAATTTCTGAATGCTTATTTATAGGGTGTGAGGTCTCACGCACAATCAAAAGCATGATAACTTGACCGGTAAAATTTACAGAAGACAGGTAGGGCTGGGCAATATAACCGGTTTAGACATGAAAACGATACGTATTGCGATACGCTGATCGAAAACCGGTATTTTGACTTGCATTCGGAAAACTTCGTAACACTCGGAAATCTTCGGGGATTTCCTTGTTTCATTTGTGCCAAATATTATTTAAATTTTTATTTTGTCATGATTGAAAGTTGTTATTAAAGCTTAATCAAGCGTAGTGATTTTGCTGTGTTTTAGCTTTATAAATCAAGCATTAACTCGATTATAAGTCGTTTTTTGTTTAAGAATACTTCATGCAATATATTGCAATATATATCGCAACATATGCTTTCGCATTGCAATATATATCACAATGTGAAAATTCTCTGCAATACCCAACCCCTAATGACAGGTATTTGATGTGCCAGTCGGTCACAGTGTCCAGCTGTAAAAATTGCCAGCGAGAACACTGGTTCCCCTACTTTTTTTTAAGAGTATATTTGCTTATTCCTGCATAAGTTAATGATAAAACCCATTATCAGTAGTAGAAGAGAAGGGATGTGTGTCAATGGAGTGAGTGAGTGAGTGAGTATGGTTTTATGCCACTTTTAGCAATATTCCAGCAATATCACAGCAGGGGACACCAGAAATGGGCTTCACACATTGTACCCTTGTGGGGATTCGAACCCGGGTCTTCGCCGTGATGAGCAAACACTTCTTTTGTGTGATGAGCTAACCCTCTTGGCAACCTGTCTGTATTTTCTGTTTCAGGTACTGGCTTTATTGGGAGAAACCTAGTACACTATTTGATAAAGAATGAATTGGTTGCTAAGGTAAGTTATTAACATGGCTGCTTGGATGAACTAATAATATTTTTGTTAAGGTAATTTGATGTGGTTTCTATGGCATGCTTATAAAATGGTTGCTATGGTAATGTGGTTATGTGGTTGCTTAGGTAAGCTGATATGGTTACTAAGGTAAGCTGCTAGATGCCTGCTAAGGTAAGGTGGAAGGTTATTGCTGAGGTAAGCTGATACATGCTAAATTAAAGGGATAGATGCTTGCCAAGGAAAACTGAACACTCCACCAAACATTTATGCTCTGTTGAAGAATATCATTTTTGTTAACAGCTTTGGACAATTATACAGCTCATAAACAACCCCATTCTCTTCCCACAGAGGTTACTTGTCATATCTTCCTACGAACCTCTGTTCTAATACGGCCCTTTCATGGTGCGAGTGTTCAGGATTCGTGATTGGTTGCAATCAGATTTAGTTGTGCAATCAGCGACGTTGTTTCAAAAGTGATCATTCGCAAGGACTCGTTAATTTCCGTATGCTCTGAGAAAATTGGAACCTCTTCCCCTGCTCGATACGCAAACGTTTCTTCTAGACAGAACTCAGTCATGTAATGGCGGATCAATGGCGTCACCATCGCCCTCGTTGACAACGGACAAGCTTGCCATTAAATGTCTTGTGTGTCACATCAACACAAGTCCCCGGCAGAGAAGAGGGATATTTGTGGCACCATTTTTACTTGCATCGATGTAACACGTGTTCTGATTGGATAGAATGAAGGGAGGTAATTCGTGTTGCGATTTTTTGCCGCTAGGGGATTTTACGAGAACCGGGAAATATGGCCGTATTAGAACAGAGGTTCATAGGAAGATATGACAAGTAACCTCTGTGGGAAGAGAATGAAACAACCCATAATTGCCATAACGTCATGTAAATGGTTTGAGAACATCTGCTTTGAGGATCAGTTCTCATTATGTTAATCACTGGATTGTCTGATCCACACTCGACTGTTTACTGACCACTCAGTGTTCAACGCTAACATTTTTTACTACTAGTGGACTAGCGGATCTGAAAATTTTTCTGAAGAACATTTATCATTAAAGAGAAGCTTTATAGTCGTTTTACGCTTAAAAAAGCTTAATAACAGTCTCTATAATACTCATTATACTAGATGATGCTGTGCAAGATTTTTAAAAACAAAAATAAATATCTACGCGACCTGTTGGGCTATCCAGACACGATTTTAACTAGACCGGACCAGCAATTTACTAGACAATGTCATTCGGACGTGCCTTAGTGTCGAACCCTGCCATTGTTGTATATGTGGAATATTGCTAAGCGTGTCGCACGATCTATCTTGTGTTTCAGGTGCGTGTTGCTGACAAAGTTCCCCCTCAGATGGCCTGGCTGAACCCCCAACATACTGTAAGTAACCATGGTAATGGTGACTGTGATTCCCAGATAGCACCCACTCTTAGTCATTGGACTGAAAACACATGACCCTTTATGGAACCAGAGGTAATGCATCACTTTTACGAGAATATTGCAGAGTTATTCCCCTTCCCAGGATCTTCTGTCAACAGGTTTGAAATCCAAAATCGCCGCACCAATGATTCAAGAGCATCTTCACTCTCTCACTCACTCACTCACTCACTCACTATCTCACTCACTCACTCAGACAGCCAGCCTTCAGACAGCCTCTGTGGTGTAGTGCAGCCCGGAGTGCGGAAGGTCGCAGGTTTGATCCTCGGCCTCAACGTATCAAAAGACGTTAACATATGGTACTTGTTTGTCCCTGCCTGGCGCTTGGCATTAATGGGTACAACAAGGACAGGTCGGCTCGGAGTCAGTACGATGTGTCTGAGTAGGGTATTCATGCTTAACTGCAGCATGGCATCTCAGTGAACTGGCGCTATAAAACCAGCTTCAGTTATACAAGCATCCACCTTGTCATATGAGCGAAATATTCTTAAGTACAACGTTAACCCCATGTCACCTCACCTTTAAACATAGTTTCAGAAAGTTCTCACCTAAATGTTTCAGGAATCTTTCAACAGCCCAAAGGTTGAATTTCGACACTCTAACCTCATCAATCAAGGTAACTTTATCTTTGTCAATTGAATTCATATCCTTGGATTTTTAGTAGCTTAAACAACTGCCAGGAGAAGTGTTCTTTACCAAAATACAATAAAAGTTGGTACTTGTTGTTTGCCTGCCTGGTGCTCGGCATTAAGATAGTAAAACAAGGACTGTCTGTTCACAGTCAGTATACTGTGTCAGAGTGAGGCATCCATGTTGTTCTGATACAATTCATTTCATTTGTACAGATGACATTTTACGGGGCAAGAGCTATGTAACTGATATTATTACTGACAGGTGTAGTGGTGATTGGGTAGCCTAGTGGATAAAGCATTCGCTTGTCACGCCAAAGATTTGGGTTTGGTTCCTCACTTGGGTTCAATGTGTCAGGCTTATGTTGTACTGATACAATTCATTTCATTTGTACAGATGACATTTCACTGGTCAAGTGCTGTGTAACTGATATTATTACTGACAGATGTAGGGGCGGTGGGGTAGCCTAGTGGATAAAGCGTTTGCTTGTCACACCAAAGACCTGGGTTTGATTCCTCACGTGGGTTCAATCTGTCAAGATTATGTTGTACTGATACAATTCATTTCATATGTACAGATGATATTTCACTGGGCAAGTGCTATGTACAGGGATGGCAATTTTCCGCTGATCCGCGGATTTTATTTCAAATTGTTCAATTGTGAATCGTCTAAATCCATTGAGAAACCCCCTTTCGATGACACAATATTAAGTTTTCCGCTGAAAATAGATTTTCCTGTTGCCATACCTGTATGTAACTGATATTAGTACTGACAGGTGTAGGGGTGGTGGGGTAGCCTAGTGGATAAAGCGTTCGCTTGTGAGGCTGAAGACCTGGGTCCCCACATGGGTTCGATATATGAAGCTTATTTCTGGTGTCCTCTGCCATGAAATTGCTGAAATATTGCTGAAGGTGGCGTAAAACTAAACTCACTCACTCACTCTGACGTGTACTCGTGTTTGTGTACATGCTTCCACATTGCTGTGTCTGGGTTCGAATCGTTAAAGAATCGGCTCGTCATGCTGAAAACACGGGTTCGATTCCCAACACAGGCACCATGTATCAAGCCCATTTCTGGTGTCCTCTACCGTGATATTACTGGCATATAGCTAAAAGCGGCTTGAAACCATACTCACTCAATCTGTCTCGTTGCAGCTTCGGTCGACAACGCATTCGCTGATGATGGAGAGGAGTTTGATTATGTCATCAACTTGGCGGCAGAAACCAAATATGGCCAGACGGAACCAGTAAGTACCTGAACCCAGATTCGCTATGTATTTGTGTAAAATAGGCCAAATTTGTCACAATTACCCTATTAAATTTTAGCTGTTTATGTAAGCATCAAAAATGCTTTAATCCAGTCATGTTAGAATGCTGTGTGATTGCTCAATGTATCATTCTTATCTCAGCCTTCACTCACTCACTCACTCACTGTTGTAGGTCTACAAGGAAGGCATTGTCCGTCTGAGTCATAACTGTGCCGTCACTGCCGCCAGACACAAGGTCAAGGTCTACATGGAATTTTCTAGTGGTCAGATGTACTCTTCAGACAAGGTGAGTTGCCTCCCTTGACTTTTCATGTCTCAAACATTTATGAGAAACATAGGACACATTTCTGCCACAATTTCAAGACCTGGATGAAGAAGCAGATTGTTTTGTGGAGGGATATTTGAAGGAATAACAAGAAATATTTTCCCAGAACTTGGGGTTACATTCTGACATTGCAGAAACAGCAAAATACTGTCAGTACGGGCATAACCTGCTCGTATATTCAACACATTATACCTTAGTGATCGACTGATATGCTTTTTTAACATGAATACTTTTGTTCATATTCCTTAAAAATTCATTTTGTATATAAATATCAAATTCACAAACATGTATTTAAGGCCTTTGTTTCTAACTATATTGTAAAAATATAAAAACAGTCCAGTTTCTGTGGTTGTCAGAACTCCTTACACACACAAAATCTTATTTCCACTTACCGGCTCTGCACTTGTAATGAATCCTTCAGAATAGTCACAGGCAATGCATAATATCAGTTTTTATGTTGTTTAAGTGCATGTGACATAACAGTTACTTTACAACAGAGAGACACATAGTTGAGAGCCAACATCCTGTTTTTGACATCATAATACCTTTGATGTCATGTTTGTGACATCATACTGTCTTTATGTCATGTTGGGACTGATGTTTGTGATGTCATGATACCTTTGATGTCATGTTTGTGACATACTGTCTTTGATGTCATGTTGGGACATCATTTTGACATGATACCTTTGATGCGTGACATAATACCTTTGATGATATGTTTGTGATGTCATGATACCTTTGATGTCATGTCTTTGATGTCATGTTGGGACATTTACCTTTGATCATGTGTGACATGATGACTTTGATGTCATACTGTCTTTGGCGTCATGTTTGTGACATGATACCTTTGATGTCATGTTTGTGATGTCATTATACCTTTGACATCATGTTTGTGACATCATACTGTCTTTGACGTCATGTTTGTGACATCATAATACCTTTGACGTCATGTTTGTGACAATGTCTTTGACATCATGTTTGTGACATCATACTGTCTTTGACGTCATGTTTGTGACATAATACCTTTGCCGTCATGTTTGTGACATCATACTGTCTTTGACATCATGTTTGTGACGTCATAATACCTTTAACATCATAGTGTGTAACTGAAGTGGTAGGCAGAAATACATTATGGTGAAAGTACACAAATATTCATTGAGCAAATGTGTTCAGAAATTTGCGCAAGAAACCCGTATGTAAAATATGATCACAAGTTCCAAGAGCTTATGAACCTTCAATGACGATTATTTTCAGTTGTCATTGTCTATTCCCAAAAGTTCTGTTTGATTGGCATTTTAGAGCTTGATGTATAATAAGTAAGGTAAAATACTTTACGCATTACAACTTCTTTATCATATTATAATACGTCGTTACATTATAGGGGCGGTGGGGTAGCCTAATGGTTAAAGTGTTGGCTCCTCACGCTGAAGACCCAGGTTCGAATCCCCACATGGGCACAATGCGTGAAACCCATTTCTGGTGTCCCCGGCCGTGATGTTGCTGGAATATTGCTAAAAGCGGCGTAAAACCAAACTCAGTCAGTCAGTCGTTACAGTATAGATTCTTATACCCTTGTCCAGCAAGGTATAAGCGTCTATACCGAAACATCGCATCATGATAAAGAAGTTGCCATCCATAAAGTGTCATACCTTTCTTCTTATTCACATTATTCATAATAATCATGATAATCATGATAATGACACTGTCTGAAGTGGTTGTTCAACCTGTGATGATCCGGGTTAGAACTGATCTTCAGTAACCCATGCTTGTCGTAAGACTACTAAGAGGCGACAAACGGGATCAGGTGGTCAGGCTCACCGACTTGGTTGACATGTCATTGTATCCCGATTGCAGAGATCAATGCTTATGTTGTTGATCACTGCGTTGTCTGGTCCAGACTCAATTATTTACAGACCACGGCCATATAGCTGGAATATTGCTGAGTGTGGCATAAAACTAAACTCTCTCACTCAAATATTGAAATTGTTCTGGTTTTGCTGTTCCAAGCCTGAAGACGATATTGTAAGTACTCTATACGTGTGTTGTGTTTGACCTAGATAGCAGTGTTGTCTTGAGATGCTGATGTTGTGTAGACCTGGACCTAGAGCATCGTTCTGCATGCTTTACTTGTGCTATGATCCATGGTTTGTCAGCTCTATGAATGCTTTCACAGATTTCACATGTAAGCCTGTCACGGTCTATCACTGTCGGCATTCTTTTCACAGTAAGTTGATGAGCTGTGATGAAACTGAAATACTGTTTGAACATTACATAAGCTGCCAAATTTTTTGTATTTGTTTCTTAGTTTCAACTACTTTTGTTGTTTCTTGCCATTAATTATACAAGTAATGTGTCAACTTTGTCAAGTTTGATTCTCTCCAGAGATTGAAATTGTGTTATGCTTTGTCACAGTCTGATATTTGTGGGAAATTTTCCTAATCGTTTACAAAACATGTAAGAACTTCTGTAAAGATGGGAAATGACAGACATATATGTCCATTTCCCACCTTTACAGATGTTTATATATATATATTTATACCTGTGTAAGACAAGGTTTTCAACCTTTACAGAAGAAAATTTTTATTCAAGACAGAATGTTTATATATGTTGAATTTCTAAATATATTTACTGAACTTACTTACTTACTACTTGTGTAAGACAAGGTTGTATTCTATCCCCAATTCTCTTCCTGTTATATGTTGAATTTCTAAAGAAAATTTTACTGAATAATTCAAGACAGAATCTTAACTTACTACTTGTGTAAGACAAGGTTGTATTCTATCCCCAATTCTCTTCCTGTTATATGTTGAATTTTTGAAGAAAATTTTACTGAATAATTCAAGACAGAATTTTTTCATGAACTATTCCAGCATTATCTATAATAACGTTTCCTGATGATTGTGGCAGTTTTTTCGAACTCTGTTGTACTTTTACCAACCTTGTCAACTTGTTGTAATGTTGGCCACATGGGCACAATGAGTGAAGCCCATTTCTGGTGTCCCCCGCCGTGATATTGCTGGAATATTGCTAAAAGCGACGTAAAACCATATTCACTAACTCACTCACTCACTTGTAATGTTGGACTTCACAAACAAAACTCTGCCTATCATAATAATTATGTCAAATCTGCCAGATTTTTCTCATTTGTCATGAATTTGGAAATAAAATTAAAAACTATATTTTCTTCCCTTGATTATTATGAATAATTTACCAGTCTACCAGGGAGAGATCACACAGTCTGAAATGATAGACACCAAGATTCTTTAGCCCCATACTGTCCTTCAGTATCTATGTGAAATCTGTTTATAGTCTTGCATTTGTCCAAAACAGACACTCTACTGATATAACGCCTCCGTGGTATAGTGGTTAAAGCGTCCGCCACAAGACGGAACCGGGTTCGATCGATGGCGTCATCCCCACAAATGGCGTTATGTGGTACTTGTTGGTCTCATGTCTGGTTTCGGCATTAATGGGTACAACAAGGACTGGAATCGAGTCAGTATAATGTGTCTGGAGGGGGTATTCATCACTCACTCTTGGCATGGTATCTCAGTGAGCTAACTATAAAACCAGCTTAAGTCTGGGCTAGCACCCATACTATCCTTCAGTCATCATATGTGAAATATTCTTAAGTATGATGTAGAACCCAATTTCACCTCACCTCACCTCTACTGATATTGTTGGAAATTATACTTGAAATCAAATCTTGGTGATGCAAATTATTAACCATGGTGCTTAAGATTCTCTTCCCACAGAGGTTACTCAAGTCATATCTTCCCATGTACCTCTGTTGTAATACGGCCATATTTCCCGGTTCTCATAAAGTTCCTAAGCGGCAAAAAATCGCAACACAAATTATCTCCCTTTTTTCTATCCAATCAGAACACGTGTTACATCGACTTAGATCCAATATGGCAGCCACCTTGGAGTTAGTTGATCAACATGCGAAGGATGGATTTGGTATTTCATGTTTAACTAAAAATCAGAAACAAGCAATACAGAGTGCAGGAATCAATCGAAAAGATGTTTTTGCTGATGTGACACACAAGACAATCAATGGCTGGCTTGTCCGTTGTCAACGCGAGGGCAATGCCATTGATTTGCCTTTACATAACTGAGTTCTGTCTAGAAGAAACGTGAAGAGGAAGGGGAAGAGGTTCTAGTTATCCCGAAGCATACGGAAGTTACCGAGACTTTGCGAATGATCACTTTTGAAACAACGTCCAGAGGCCCAGATAAGCTGCGTATCCGGGTAAAATACGCATAGAAAATTTCCAATTACACATTGAAACATAATTGTTGCGTACCAATTATGCATTTAAAATGTTAGATACTCAAAAAGTTTAAAACAAATGCGTGCGGAATATATTTATAAAAATCGCCTGCGTAATGAAAAAGACATTGTTTGCTATCAAGATGTACTGTTAGTATAGGACAAGTGTTGTACTGTCAGTACAGGATGAGTGATTTTTTTATGAAATCATTTCCATTATATTTAAGTTGGTTTTGATTAGGTATGACATAAGGCAGAACATACCTGCTTAGTAAACTTACTCAATGACATATAATACTTCGATGAGTAATATGAGTGAAATACGCACATATTTGAGAGCAGTGGGAAACGGAAAATGAAATACCCACTCAACATTCATAATACCCACTCCGAAAAAATACAGTGGGTACAGTACCCACATGAGCTAAATCTTATCTGGAGCTCTGAATGTCGCTGATTGCACAACTAAATCTGTTTGCAACCAATCACAAATCCTGAACACAGTCACCATGAAAGGGCCGTATTAGAACAGAGGTTACGTGGGAAGATATGACTTGATTAAGTGGGAAGTCTGTGGGAATGGAATGGGTTCTAAGGACAATTTGAAGCTATCAAAATTTAACTTAGGTCCAGCACAGAACAACAGCAGACATTATCACCTAAATTTAGTGCTGATTTTGGGTGCTGCCCAATGTCCGCACCAGATAATTATGGTGTCCTATATAGGAGATAAGGAGAATGTACTAACTGTAACTTGGGAAGATTGGCAGCTGTTGTGGATGAACCTCACTTGCTCACTCACTCACTCAAACTTAGGGTTTTACACGACGCGTGATTCCTGCGTATTTTACGCAACAATTTTGTAAACGACTCTCAAAATATTATCATACGAGTCAAGCTTGACGCAAGTTTTATGGGAGGCCCTCACAATTCAGTTCAATAAAATCGATTTGATAAGCAAAAAATGATAGTGTTCGAGGATAGTTCGACTTTTACAGAGCTGTCAGATTGTTCCAGAGAACTCAGAGGAGACAGTAATCCTGACTGTTTGAATTGAACAATGGTAGTTTCATAAGGTGGTGTGACATACACAGTTACATACTGAGAATGATTAACACAAAGAAATATTAAATTTTCATGACTCCCGAATATTGAAAATGAGTCTCCCTCCTCCTCCTCCCTCCCCCCAAAATAATATTGTGAGTCACCCTGACTCCCATTTTTAAAAGTCTGTGTAAAACCCTGTCAAACTGCATGCTCCACACTAACTGTAACTTGGTAAGATTGGCAGCTGTTGTGGATGAACCTGACTCACTCACTCACTCACTCAAACTGCATGCTCCACACTGATGATGTTGTTTGGTTTCATCAGCTCGATATCGTTGCGTATGTCCACAATCTCTGTTACTCTGGCTGTCTTTACATGCAGTTGTGTAACCAAAATAGTTTTCAACTCCTGCTTTGACAGTTTGGACTGCTCAGTATGGAGTCTCCATTAGACCATGATCATACTAAGGACTGCATTACTGTGAAGAATATATTTATTCAGAAGAACCCCTTTAAACAATCCACTCATTGGGGTATTTCACATTTCACATCTTACTTGTTTATTTTGCAAAATGCAGCTTTTTGTGGTCGCTACATTATTTACAGAAAGTGTTGACGGACCCTTTATAAAGTGTGTATTGTAAACTAGGGGTGTCACGATTCACTCTCACTTCGATTCAATACGATTATGGATTCAATTCGTTCGATTCGATTAATTTCGATTTGATTCACCAAAGCTGAGGACAAAGTCAAATTTGGTGTAATATCAGTATAATTTGGCAAACTTTGGAAAATTGGCACAATGCACAATAGTGTTGTTCCGATTAATTGAAATAATCGAAGATTGATCGCAGTGACCAAACGACCAAGCAATTGATCACATTTTCTCATAATCGAACATAAACGATTTTGGAACTACTGTTTTAGTCTTTGAAATACTTGACAATGGAACATATCATTGAAATTGTCAGGGCCTGAAAACGTGTTTATTTCTTAGAAAACTCACTTCACTAACTGAAAATCCATTATTGAATATTTCTTGAAGACTCCGGGGAAGTTTATGTTCATGATATATTAGTCATCACTTTAAAGTAGCAAGTTGCATCATGTTATACATATCTGCAATAACAACCTGGATAGGAAAATCTGAAAAATGGCGCTAACCAATTTTTGTCGATGATTGTTCGTTGGTAATGAAACAATCATCAATTGTGAATTTCAACCAATTCCCAACTCTAATTATCGATTCAATTAGATTCGATTCGATTAATTTCGATTCGATTCACCAAAGCTGAGGACAAAGTCAAATTTGTTTTAATATCAGTATAATTTGGCAACTTTGGAAAATTGGCACAATGCACAATTAGAACACTGTCAAGACAAGTTGTCAACAAATACTCACTGAACAAGTGATCATGAAATTAAGTTTCAGTCCGCGAAATCAAATGTCAAGTGTTCATTGTGACTGTAATGTCACTGTAAGTCATTTGGAATGATCATGTTCTGTGCAAGGAATTTTCACTTGAAGACCGCCCCTGGGCACTTACAATGTCTCCAGCAGTGGAGAATACCTTCTCACTGGCCACAGTTGTACCAGCGAATTTTCAACATAATTTCTTACAATTTCAGGTGAAATAAACTCTCAGTATTAGAAAGTAAGTACTTTAAGATTTGAATCGAAAAGGATGCATTTGAAATCGAGATCGAATCAGTAGATCTATCGATTTGGTTTTCGATAAACCGAACCGAATCGTGACACCCCTATTGTAAACTTTAGTAACAACCGCGTCTTGATGTTTGATTGGCATTTTAGTAGATGCTATTTGATGAACATGGAGACTTTCCTGGGTTTCATCTTCTTTTTTATTGTTTGGTTTAGCGTTTCAGGGCTTGTTCCGGCCCCTCGTCAGGTACTGTTCTTTAGTTCTACCTGATGATGGGGCCAGAACAAGCCCTGAAACGCTAGCTCGCTAATAAAAGATGAAACAAATCTCCATGTTCAACATATCTTGACTTTGAATGTGCTCCATGCGTTCTGTTTCATATGAAATTTCACACATCAAATCTATGTTCAGAAGCTCTGCACTGAAAATACAGTAGTTTATATCTAAATGTATTTGCTTGCTCTCACTGCATGAAGAATGTCATTGATATCTCCTTCCTCCAAGACTTTAAGGGGAAGGGGCGGTGGGGTAGCCTAGTGGTTAAAGTGTTCGCTCGTCACGCTGGGTTCGATTCCCCACATGGGTACAATGTGTGAAGCCCATTTCTGGTGTCCCCCCGCCATGATATTGCTGGAATATTGCTAAAAGCAGTGTAAAACAGTACTCACTACCTCACTTTAAGGGGATTCCGTTCAGAACCAGGTTGCATCATACTTTAGCTCTGCCAGGTACTCAAGGAATAGTTTCATTAAATGGACTCATGTTATGGACCGCTAGGCTCACAGGTATGATCTTGTTCAGGTGGACACAAGTCTCATGTTATGGACTAGGCAGGTATGGTTTTGTTCTCACAAGTCTCATGTTATGGGTATGGTATTCTTGTTCAGGTGGACACAAGTCTCATGTTATGGACCGCTAGGCTCACAGGTATGGTTTTGTTCAGGTGGACAAGTCTCATGGAGTCTCATGTTCAGATGGACACAAGTCTCATGTTATGAACGCTAGGCTCACAGGTATGGTCTTGTTCAGGTGGACACAAGTCTCATGTTATGGACCGCTAGGCTCACAGGTATGGTCTTGTTCAGGTGGACTCATGTTATGGACCGCTAGGCTCATGTTCAGGTGGACACAAGTCTCATGTTATGCTAGCTAGGCTCACAGGTATGGTCTTGTTCAGGTGGACACAAGTCTCATGTTATGGACCGCTAGGCTCACAGGTATGGTCTTGTTCAGGTGGACACAAGTCTCATGTTATGGACCGCTAGGCTCACAGGTATGGTCTTGTTCAGGTGGACACAAGTCTCATGTCATGGACCGTTAGGCTCACAGGTATGGTCTTGGCTATTTAAGCTTCTCGGTTAAATTTACTTGTCCAACATCAAAAACCACTAGACTCACATGTATTCAAGGGTCCTGTTTGGATCCTACATCAAGGACTAGTCTGTTATTGGTTACCACAAATACGTTGGTATATGACCGAACCTAGTTTAACAGATATTTCATACTTTCACGTGGGGCAAGCTGGGCGAGCTGGGCGAGCTGGCTAAGGCACCGGGCTAGTGATCCAGCGAGGTTGAGGTGTCGGGATCGAGCCCACCTGTGACCGGGTGTAAAAACCTTGGAGTCAACTTTGTGTGCAGACTCTTTCAGTGTTGTCACAACCCCGAGTGTACAGTACACAACCCTGTGCACTTAAAAAAAACCACGAATCCGTTGGTATATGACCACATGGTAGCAACATGAATATGTGTAAATACCTATTTGCGGGTACAGCAACGTGTAGTAAACTTGGACAAAGTACTGTGACTACGTGTCCCAGTCCACCCAGCTGTGATTGGGTACATTGTAAGGATGGGAAAGCCGCAATAACTCGGTGCGCCTAGTGGCTGCAAGAGTCATATGCTCCCGGGAGTTGAGATTGATAATATCGATGTGCCGTTGAGGATTGACATCCAACGATCGAGGGAAACTACCAATGCCTTGAGCATGTACTAGTTGCTAGGATCTTTGCACTGTATAAATATCCTGTAATAATAATAAATAATGATAATAATACCCCAGATATTGATATCTTTGAGTTTATGTCAAGGACCAGTCCTCTGATGTCTGGTTTTGTTGGATTCAGGGAGCCAGGGACATCTCATCTGACAGATGTTCAAGAATCTTGTTTAGATGGTCCCACTTGGTTTGGAACTTTAGTCAACTTGGCAAGAATCAGTATTGGATTTACAACCACATAAAAATAAAATAAAACCAAATGTCTTCTCACACATGTATATTCTAATGTCAGACAAGTTTGTCCTCTTGTCCTCTGTCAAATACAAATGTCCTAAAGCCTTACACACGCCCTATTCTTGTGTCCTCAGACAAACATGTCCTCATGTTCCAGAAAGCCAACACGGAGGACTGCAAGTGTGACCCTTGGACCCACATGGCCAGACACAAGCTGGAGGTCGAGCGTGACCTCGAGAACATCCCTGACCTCAACTACATAATCATCAGGCCTGCCATCGTCTACGGGCTAGGAGACAAGAATGGTTTGAGTAAGAACATTTCCTCATCTTATTGCTCTCCACTCTGGCATGAAACATATTCAAGGGTAAAATCAAATCTGTGAAATCGATGTGAGATCGATTTCCTGTTCCATGATTAACTACTCCATGGTGATGACCTAAGGTCTGATTATGACGGACTTCTTTCCTGAATGAAATTCACCGATAGGTTACACATACTTCAATGCAGACCCGTTACTGGTGCCGAACAACTTTATACCTGCCCGTTGTTTTCCTGAATGTGTAGCGACAGGTATTTTAAGCAACAAACCTTAGAGTATATATGACAACACGAATCTGGTATCTGTCAGACACTTGTGTAGTAATCTCTATGTCTCTGCAGCTCCTCGTCTGATCATTGGTGCAATATACAAGTACACGAAGGAGAAGATGAAGGTGAGGCTCGACGCTGTTGAACTTAAGGGAGGTAACTGATCAAGTAGCTGACTCGCAGTAAACTCTGAGGCCAGTGCGTGATCCAAAGGCTGCTGCTACTGACACTACCAGTTCCCAATTTGAATAAAACGTTTCCTATTTCATCAGACGTTCACTCAAATATGATAAAATTTGGAATACACTTCAAGGTTATTTCCAAATTTGCTTGTCAAGAACAAGGAGGGGTAGCCTAGTGGTTAAAGCAATCGTTCATCGAATTTGCTTGTCAAGAACAAGGTAGTCTAGTGGTTAAAGCATTCGTTCATCGAATTTGCTTGTCAAGAACAAGGTAGTCTAGTGGATTTAAAGCATTATCGTTCATCACACCGAAGACCCGGTTCGATTCCCCACATGAGTATAATGGGAAGCCCATTTCTGTGGTGTCCCTGAGTGGGTAGCCTAGTGGTTCAAGCGTTAAGCTCGTCACTGAAGACCCTGGTTCGAATCCCCACATGGGCACAATGTGTGAAGGCCATTTCTGGTGTCCCCCGCTGTGATGTTGCTGGAATATTGCTAAAAGCGGTAGAAACCAAACTCAGTCAGTCGATCACGCCGAAGACCTGGATTGATTCCCCACATGGGTACAATGTGTGAAGCCGATATCTGGTGTCCCCCTGTCATGATATTGCTGGAATGTTGCTAAAAGCGGTGTAAAACCATACTCACTCACTGTCACTCATTTTTTTTCTCTTTGAGTTTCTGGAATATTATTGGTAGTTTGTGAGTGAGTGAGTGAGTTTAGTTTTATGCTGCACTCAGCAATATTCCAGCTATATGGCGGCGGTCTGTAAATAATCGAGTCTGGACTGGTAGTTTGTGACACAGTAGTTAATCTGTATCTTCAGCTGATGTTAACTTGTATCTTCAGCTGATGTTAACTTGTATCTTCAGCTGACGTTAACTTGTCATTAGTAAATGTCCTGTGATCAGTGTGATCAGTGATTGGGTTATGTAATGATCTTTTCTGAAAGATGGAGCTTTGATAAAAGGAAATGTTAGTGAGTGATGATTCTCTGTAGCACCTTAGGATGAAGAATGCAACAATTCTGCATCTGTAAAGTAGTAGTATTTTTCCTTATCCTGACTCATGCTCTTTTGCTTGTCTTCTTCTTCTTGCAGTAACATAGTGGAACACTTGTATCTCCCTAATTGAAGCTCCCTTCAATTTAAAATCACTAATTAGTATTCACCACGAAGTTACCTCCTTTCCACAAGCAAGGGAACGAGGGCGCCACCTCTACCCATGTGCCTCACTCTCCTTCTTCGCCCAGTGAGCTGGACGTGAGAGCTCTGTGTCTCCGACACACTATATCCCTTTGAATTATATTTAGTTAGTTACCTCGTGATAGACATCTATAGAGGTTTAGCTAGTATCCTTCAACGATTATATATTGATATTTAGTCGTTTTTCTACAGTTTAGTCACGCGGACGTGTTTGTTTTCCAGTGGATTACGCTTGATGAAAATTTCTGTACTATTGCAGATTACGCTTTTTATGCTGCTGCTGATCCGCCTTTAATATGATGTACGAGCCATGTTTATTATATTCACATTGCAGTTGGGCGGTACTAATTTATCCAATTCTACCTTTTATTAATATTTACTTTGGCGCTTGGCACGCATAGCAGATAGGTCGCGTATGCAGACTCTAGTATGACTGATACACCGGAACCCCTCACCAGTTCACGGCTGTTGGCCAATTCTCCCCCGTGTGGTGTTCCGCTAGAGTGGTGGAGAGGTGTGGGACGTAGTCCGCCATCTCCAAGAAGCATCCTGCTTCCCCAGACATCCCATCGCCGCAGCAGAAGACTAGAGGTTTTTGTTTTTTCTACTACATCTCAACAACCGGTGACCGCTCCCATCGAAGTTTTGGGCCTGTATGATGATCAGCCGGTCATCATACCGATGTACATCAAGATTGACCGATGTCGCACAGATCAGCATGCAGCCTGATGTACCAACGCAGATATCGCATGATCGCCCTGAGGGTCCCATCATTACTAACACTCAACGCAGACGCCGCGACACCCAGGGCAGCGCCGACCTCTGAGGGGAAAATCAACGAAGTCTACTAGGACTTTCTCAACCGAGATTGTTCCAGCCGATGACCTGGACTCCTAATGATGATCAGCTGATCATCATCCCCACGCATCGCCACAAGAAACGACCGGGTGATAGCTACAACGACATCAGCAGAGATCACCATGCAGCCTGATGCCTCTACACTGATGTCGGACGATTTTCCGGTGGACCCCTCCATTAACACCGCAGATAAAGCACCGGTCGACCTCCGCCGCGAGACCATCCCAGAAGACATGATGCGACAAATTATGAACATCATGGAGGACCAATATCTGGCGGTAGCAGGGTCCGAAGTTTCGCTGAAGGCTCCAACGACAGCACCCCAGAGGCACCCCCGCCAACGAAAGCAGCCAGGACGATGTCACCTTCGCTAAGGAAGTCAATGGACCACCTTGACGAAGGACCTAGATGTACAGCCTTCGCTAAGGCCTTCTGGCGGAAAGGACTCTAGATGGACAGCCTTCGGCGAAAGAACCTAGATGTACAGCCTTCAAGGACGACTTCGCTAAGGCAGGATAGATCATCACCTTTTGCGGTTTCATCCCTAGATGTGGACTCGACCATCAGACATCACGGAAGCCTTCGCTGAAGGTCATATCGCCGTTCTCCGACCGACGAGAGGAAGCTTCAAGGCAATGCGCCGGCGACACCTGAATCCAGATCATCATCATCTAGAAGGACATCGAGGGATTCATACAAGAGCTTCGCTAAACTATCAACGCCCCTCACAAGTTCTCGAGAAGATCAACCCATAGACAAGTTGATCATCGATATCAAGTATAAGAACTACAATCGATATTGGTTCTGTTGAATCCATGACGAGACGTATGTTCGCTGGCCTAAATAGATCTAGAACGATCAATTAGACACTTATCACCAGACTTCGTGAATACTTCACTTCTGAATATGATAAGATGATCCATGCGCCCTATTTCTAGGCAAGCGCTTCAACCGATCCCACATCCTGTTAAACACAGAGGCTGTTCACGAAGCAAGCCATATATATATTTTATATATATATATATATACTAATCGGCTTTTGATTCGACACCTTCGCGATGGTCGCTAAGGCTAAGTGGCTCCAAGTCTACTTCACCCAGAAGATCTAGAAAGGATACTGGTGAACTTCGCTAAGTCTCCGGGCGCTCACCGAGGAAGTCTCCTCCAAGGTTTCCATATACCAGCCACTCGGCCATATATAGCTACTCGCCAGTCCGTTTCAAGACGCCGCGATAAGTTGATTATCAACTGTATGCCAGATGCCGCCTATAAGCCTCCACGCGAAGATAATTGCCTCAGCTATTTACAACACAGAACGTCGCTGTATTATTAGTCAATCGACATTTCATAGATCTTCACAGAAATCAACTATTCGTGATAAATTGCTAATATACAATCCCGACGACGATCGATACGATTATCTACATGCTGACCATTACGCATATCTGCAGACAATTCAATATCGAAATTGAACAGCAGCCTTGTTACAGCCAGTATAACTCTTTAATCACAAAGTTTCTGAGAAGAAATATGTACAAGTTCAACGTTAATTCTACAATTATGACGATACATTCATGTATACAGTCTACAAGCTCACAACTTGCAAGTTGTTTATACCCTTATATATAAGGAAGTCGGAATTATATTCAAAACTGAAATTACTTTCTACGACAACCAGGAAAATAACCTACCCAGCATAAAATTACAGAGCCTGAGATTTTTCACCGGAGGTTTTCGCTTCAGCGGTTACCATTAACCCTCGAAACACGTGGTCACTCCGGATAACTTCGAAGTTACGGTGAAGACCGACGCTTATGCTAATATCAACTTAATTTACAAGAATTTATTCAAGGTGGGTTTTTTCCCGCTACACCGTGACATCACAGCGGGTATTATACAGAATCAAAATGCCTTGTTCTGATTGGACCGCTGAGGGACAACGACTCTACACAGAGGTCGATCTCTATTCACAGTTCAAGACTTACGCTACAAGTGACAACTATATATCAGTGAACGAGCAAGCCTCATTACAGTCCAGTTAACCTGAACATTCATGATTAGACTGCCTTTCTTCAAGTTAGAGACCTCCCTGTCAAGTTAAGACGAGGGATCGCAGTCAGGCGATTTTACATAAAGTTCAACGAGGACAGACACACCTGGTTGTGCACCTACATCATCAAGGACTTCGCGAGCTTAATTACCTAGGACGAAAGATACAAGTGGATCTTAAATCCACAGCGCTTCAGACTACAGCTGAATTTCATCAAGCGACTAACACAACTAGATGGTTAGTAAACCTACTAAACTTCTGTTTGGAGAATAAAACGGAAATTTCACGCCTAACCTGGGATATGAATATAGTGCTCCAACACCTCACAAGTGAGGTTTATGAACACGCTTTGATGACATACTTGGACCCCATGATACGATGATTCTATCAAGATGGCCAGCAAGAGCACTGTAAATTTATCTCCACCAAACCAAACAGGAGGAAAAATGCAAACAGATTATTTTTCTATCATCAACTTACAGAGTGAAGTCTCATGTATTATATCTCCATTTGATCAGAACTGTCATACTACGCGGGCATATGCGGATGGACCTATTCCGACCCTCCATGAGCTTAATACTCATGATATTATAGCTTAACTTCTACAATTGTTGTACACAAATATGATTGAAATAATGGAGGGTTTATTTCTGAACCGATATGGTGGTTGCAAACCATTATCTGAGAGATATCACCACCGAGGACGCCTCAGGTATACACCAATTCGATCCCATGGTCCTCAGACAACAGCTGATAGTTCTCTGAGAAGATAAGTCAATCTAACAGATTTTTACTTATCTTATAACAATACTAAATAGCTTCATGCTATATATAATTTACTTAAGTTCCTTTTATCATCACAGTACTATGATTATTACATCATACAATATATAAGTTAACAACTCTACAGAGTTTGTTATTATATATATTTACCTTAAGTTATTCATATCTTAAGAGTAATACTATGGTTACATGATAAATGCATTAGCTAACAAACTCTACAGAGTTTTTATTATTTTATACATAGCTTAAGTTAATTAAGCTAACAAACTCTACTGAGTTTTACTATTATATAGGTAACTTAAGCTAATTATACCTTAAGCATAGTACTATACTCATATTATTAAAATATATTGGCTAACAAACTCCTAAGGAGTTTTGCTATTATATAGGTAGCTTAAGCTTATTCATATCTTAAGCTTAGTACTATGTTTATATCATATAAGTAGATTAGCTAACAAACTCTAAAGAGTTTTTTTTTTGCTATTTGGCTTAAGTATCATCATATTTCTAAGCAATATGGTTATATTATAACATGTATTAGCTAACAAACTCTACAGAGTTTTAGCTATTATATATGTAACTTAAGCTTATTCATATCTTAAGCATAGTACTATGTTTATATCATATAGGTATATTAGCTATCAAAACTCTAAAAGAGGGTTTTGCTATTATATATTTCGCTTAAGTTTTATCATATTTTAAGCTTTATGGTTACATTATAACATGTATTAGCTAACAAACTCTAATGGAGTTCTTGCTATTATATATGTAGCTTAAGTTTTCCTTCATAAGCTCAATACTAGGTTTATATCATAGCTAACAAACTCTAAAGGGTTGTTTTCGCTTATTATACAATTAGCTTAAGCTTTCATCATATCTTAAGCAGTATGTTTACATTATAAAGGTATTAGCTAACAAACCCGACGGAGTTTTGTTATTTATATATATATAGCTTAAGTTTCATCATAACTTAAGCTCAGTACTATGTTTTTAACATAAAAGTATATTAGTTAATAAACTCTAAGGAGTTTATTTTGCTATATACATTTAGCTTAAGTCTAATCTTATCTTAAGCTTAGTACTATGGTTACACTCTATAAACATATTAGCTAATAAACTCTACAGAGTTTTTGGCTATTATATATGTAGCTTAAGTTAATAATATCTTAAGCACAATACTATACTCATATTGTAAAATATATTAGCTAACAAACTCACGGAGTTTTGCTATTATATATGTAGCTTAAGTTCATTATATCTTAAGCACACTACTATACTCATATTGTAAAATATATTAGCTAACAAACTCTAATGAGTTTTGCTATTATATATGTAGCTTAAGTTAATTATATCTTAAGCACACTACTATACTCATATTGTAAAATATATTAGCTAACAAAACCCTACAGAGTTTTGCTATATATATGTAGCTTAAGTTAATTATATCTTAAGCTCAGTACTATACTAATATTATAAAAAATATATTAGCTAACAAACTCTACAGAGTTTGGCTATTATATATGTAGCTTAAGTTAATTATAGCTTAAGCACAGTACTATACTCATATTATAAAAATATATTAACTAACAAACTCTACAGAGTTTTTGCTATTATATATGTAGCTAAAGCTTATTCATATCTTAAGCTCAGCATTATATCTATATCATATAAGTATATTAACTAACAAACTCTAAAGAGTTTGCTATTATATAATTAGCTTAAGTTTAATCATATCTTAAGCTTAGTACTATGTTATATCTTAAAGTATTTTAGCTAACAAACTCTAAGGAGTTTATACTAGCATATTAACAAGCTTAAGTCTATTAGTCTTAAGCATTGTATTAATGTTATATATACTTTATCATAATAAGTACATGGTAATAACCTTTATATGGCAGCTGATAAGTTAGCAGCAGGAATTCATCAGTTCAGTGCCTTTATGAAGTTCCCATAGGGTTATTACAATCATCACAGTTCAAATCACTAATTATTAAAAATCTAAAGTATTAGATATTCCCACCTCCGTCTCCGTGAGGATGCTACAAACAAAAGAGCATGAGTCAGGATAAGGAAAAAATATGTAATTTTTAGAGTAAAATTGATATTTTATACTTATCCTGACTCATGAGGTCAGCCCTCCCATCCTCCCCAAATAACACTTTGGATTTCCCTGTAAATTCAAATGTTGGGCTCAGTATATGAGGAGAGAGTGAGGCACATGGGTAGAGGTGGCCCTCGTCCCCGCTTGTGGAAAGGAGGTAACTTCGTGGTGAATACTAATTAGTGATTTTAAATTGAAGGGAGCTTCAATTAGGGAGATACAAGTGTTCCACTATGTTCGCAAGAAGAAGAAGACAAGCAAAAGAGCATGAGTCAGGATAAGTATAAAATATCAATTTTACTCTAAAAAGTAGTTTTCCTTTCAAAGTGTGTCTTTATTTTGATGTCCCTGTTTACCATCAGATGCTGTGGACAAAAGACCTGAAGATGAACACAATCCATGTGGACGACCTGTGTGCTGCTGTGTGGACCTTGTGTCAGCAGGGCAAGCCACGACAGATATACAACCTGGTGGACAAGGGCGATACCAGTGAGTATGTCAGATATACAACCTGGTGGACAAGGGCGATACCAGTGAGTATGTCAGATATACAACCTGGTGGACAAGGGCGATACCAGTGAGTATGTCAGATATACAACCTGGTGGACAAGGGCGATACCAGTGAGTATGTCAGATATACAACCTGGTGGACAAGGGCGATACCAGTGAGTATGTCAGATATACAACCTGGTGGACAAGGGCAATACCAGTGAGCATGTCAGATATACACCAGCACAAGTCAGTTAGTGTCACATAAATTATATATTCAGAAGCAATCTTATTTAAATCAAACCTTTACGTCTGAAGACCTGGCTTTATAAAGATCTGAGGAATCCTCTATACAAAGTCCACACTAGGGACCAATAAAGAGGGTGCATGAGTTCCTGAGCTGATCAGATGTCAGGTTTCTAAAACAAATCCGATTCTTTTCTAAACCATCTTGATTCCAAAAAAGAATCAGAAAAGCACCACAGAACACAAATATAAACCTGTCAGTGTGCCCCACAAACTCTGATGCCATGTTGCACAGAAACAGCAGCAAGTTATATGAATTATCCTGAACTATGTAATACCTTGGCTTTTCTTTTTGGCTTTCGGAACTGCCCATTTACCTTCATTTTCAAAATCAGAAGGTTTGGTTTGAATGTGTTACTCAATCATACAGAGACTCCAGGCACTAGCTGGAACATTCTCTTTCCACAGAGGTTACTTAAGTCATATCTTCCCACGTAACCTCTGTTGTTCTATACGGCCCTTTCATGGTGCGAGTGTTCAGGATTCGTGATTGGTTGCAATCGGATTTAGTTGTGCAATCAGCGACGTTGTTTCAAAAGTGATCATTCGATAAGCCTCGGTAATTTCCGTATGCTTCGGGAAAAATAGAACCTCTTCCCCTACGCGATGCGCAAACGTTTCATCTAGACATAACTCGGTCATGTAATGGCGGGTCAATGGCGTCTCCATTGCCCTCGTTGACAACGGACAAGCTATGCATTAAATGTCTTGTGTGTCACATCGTCATAAGTCATCGGCAGATGAGGGATATTTGTGGCCCCACTTTCTATTGCTAGTTTCTGATTTTCAGTTAAACATGAGATACCGAATCTATCCTTCGTATATTGAGCAACTAACTCCATGATGGCCGCCATATTGGCTCTAAGTCGATGTAACACGTGTTCTGATTGGATAGAAAGAAGGGAGATAATTCATGTTGCGATTTTTGCTGCCAGGGTACTGTAAAAGTATTATATTTCGCGCAGGTTTTAATTTCAAAACATTTTAGCGCGAAAATTTATATAATAACCGCGAATAAACCTGTCATTCATTCAGTCTAGCCACGCTCGCCCCTGAGTTGTTACCATAACACATCAAGTTTGAAGACAGAAATTTACGGGAATCTTAAAATGACGACTGATAGTAGCATATAGAATCATACTTAACTGTCGCTGTAATGGATTTCCCAAAACATAATTAAATAATGAGCCAAATCGAATTAGCTTAAAACAGCAATGTGTGTTGTGGCCGCCATGGAAATTGGTCACATGACAGATGGTTTGATACAAAACAGATTACCATGAAACGACTAGGAAAGAAATAACAGCAGTATTTTATTTATTCATTAAGATTTTATTTACCAGTACATCATGAAGCTTAATAGTCACTTAACACTCAATCATCTCATTCACAACAACCCGGCTTGTTTGAAATCACAAAGAGCTTCATATACAGTAGAAGTTAATTGGCCAGATCGTCAGAATTCGGAACATAAGAATGATGTGTTTTTCATCTCTTACGTGAGTAAACGGATTACTGTGTACTAGTATATCGCACAGATAGGGATTTCCTGTGAGTAAGCAATAAACGCCACCTGACAGGTTAAGCCACTCTGTTTGTTTTCACTGCTATTAGTGGCGGCCAAAGAGACAGCTGGCAGTTCCGGCAATTACTGATTGCGCGAATAATTGACCGCGTGATGTAGTCTAAACTGTCAATTCCGCGAAAATTGCACCACGCGAAAATAAGTACGTTTACAGTATTTTACGAGAACCGGGAAATATGGCCGTATTAGAACAGAGGTTACGTGGGAAGATATGACTTGAGTAACCTCTATGGGAAGAGAATGTAGCTGGAAAGGTCTTTGTGTGGAAGGGTAGTGTTTGAGGATAATAGATCTGATTTTACTGTATTGATTTATAAGCTGTCTGTTAGTCGTATTTTAGCAATAGCAGTTTGTGGGAGTGGGTTGTTACTGATTGTGAACTTCTTCATTTGCAGCACAAGGAAGAATCAGTGAGCTGGTATCGGAAATCTTCGACATCAACTTTGACTTCGTTGGCTCCGTAATGTCAACCATGGCCAAGGTTGGTAACAGTTCTTAACAGTTTCTGCTGTAATCCGAGTCCTTGGGGGACATGTATCTTATTTCTGACCCGTGATGATCCATGTTATGATTGGTCTTCAGCATCACATACTTGTTATAACCCGTGAAGGTCCAGGTTAGAATATTGATCTTCAGTAGCCCATGCTTGTCGTAAGAGGCGTCTAACGGGATTGGGTGGTCAGACTGGCTGACTTGGTTGACAGATATCATCAGTTCCCAGATCGATGCTCATGCTGTTGATCACTGGATTGTCTGGTCCAGACTCGATTATTTACAGACCGCCGCCATATAGCTGGAATATTGCTGAGTGTGGCGTAAATCCTAACTCACTCACTCACTCACATGCTTGTTGTTCGAGGTAAATAACATGCTGGGTGGTCAGGATCGCTGACTTGGTTGAAGTCAGGGCTCATGTTGAGGAACCTGATTTCCCCTGACTTAGGTGTATGTTGACACAAAAAGCTTGTTGCACCAGACAAAAACATAAATTGAAGTTGAAATATAAATGCTCCAGATCATCTAAATGAGTAAACCCAAATGAGATTAAAACAGTCATTTGGTCTCCTTCGAAAATTATGAGTAAAAAGTTTAAAGTGAGAACTGTTAAAGAATTGAATTTTTGGTGTTATATAAACAGTTACGTGTCTGATATGGTACACAAAATCCTTACTTGAAAAAAAAAAGGAGAAATTTAAAGGGAGATAATTCATCTTTAGGTTTCAGTTGAACATGACGAATGTGATGGGGGTTGAAAGGGAGATAATTCATTTGTTGGTTTCAGTTGAACATGACGAATGTGGTGGAGGATATCAACGACAAGCACATGGCACCATGGGCCGACGCGTGTCAGAGGGACAACATCGTCAACACACCGCTCAACCCATTCATTGACCAGGTACAACAGTCTTGTAAATGTTTCTTGGAGCTATTGATACGTCTCATGCTATGAATGAGGCCAACGGCCCTAATCCACAAAGCCATTGTAGCAGTGTGCAAAATAGCCACTGGCCTGTTAGCCTGTTGCTAGTAAAACTGCAGTCGGGCCAGTCCACCGTCACATACCCAACAGGCGAGTGAATTTTCATGTGGTCATTTTGTAAATATATCACTCTCTCCAATTTGTTAATACCCTTTTAAATCATGATAGATTATGGCCTGATAAAAATGTTCATCATATTAGCAGCTTCATGATGAAACCTGTGTCATGCCGACAATATCTTATTCTCATCTATTTTTGAAATCTTTTGCTAAGTTTCTACATTTTCCGGCATAGCTAGCCTGACTGGCTAGCAAAATTTGGAAACTATTCCCCCACACTGCATTGTAGCACTACAACTGTTATCAACCTGTGTTTAAATATATTAAAGGATGGGAGTTACGATCACCATAGTGCTACGATGATCGTAAGTCTGTGTTGAAGGATGGTAGTTACGATCACCATAGTGCTACGATGATCGTAAGTCTGTGTTGAAGGATGGTAGTTACGATCACCTTAGTGCTACGATGATCGTAGGTCTGTGTTGAAGGATGGGAGTTACAATTACCTTTGTGCTACGATGATCGTAAGTCTGTGTTGAAGGATGGGAGTTACGATCACCTTAGTGCTACGATGATCGTAAGTCTATGTTGAAGGATGGGAGTTACGATCACCATAGTGCTACGATGATCGTAAGTCTATGTTGAAGGATGGGAATTACAATTACCTTTGTGCTACGATGATCGTAAGTCTATGTTGAAGGATGGGAGTTACAATCACCTTTGTGCTACGATGATCGTAAGTCTATGTTGAAGGATGGGAGTTATAATCACCTTAGTGCTATGATGATCATAAGTCTATGTTGAAGGATGGGAATTACAATCACCTTAGTGCTACGATGATCGTAAGTCTATGTTGAAGGATGGGAGTTACAATCACCTTAGTGCTACGATGATCGTAAGTCTATGTTGAAGGATGGGAGTTACAATCACCTTATGTGCTACGATGATCGTAAGTCTATGTTGAAGGATGGGAGTTACAATCACCTTAGTGCTACGATGATTGTAAGTCTATGTTGAAGGATGGGAGTTACAATTACCTTTGTGCTACGATGATTGTAAGTCTATGTTGAAGGATGGGAGTTACAATCACCTTTAGTGCTACGATGATCGTAAGTCTATGTTGAAGGATGGGACTTACAATTACCATAGTGCTACGATGATTGTAAGTCTATGTTGAAGGATGGGAGTTACGATCGTCTTATTGCTACGATGATCGTAAGTCTATGTTGAAGGATGGGAGTTACAATCACCTTAGTGCTACGATGATCGTAAGTCTGTGTTGAAGGATGGGAGTTACGATCATCTTAGTGCTAGAAGCGCTTGTGGATCAGGATCCATTGCCCCATTCCACAATGCGAATGAGGTGCTAAAGTATGGGAGATATGATCAAGTAAGCGCTAGGCCCTGGATCGGCAACATGTCACTTTTTGTAACATGTAACACTGTTGCATGCTTGTAGGACACAAGGCTCTTGTTTTCTTTTAGCAGCACGCAGAGTGTATGAAATAATTTTGAAAAGTCACTGGCCAGAGGGCTAGTTAAGTAAAAATGTTGCTAGCACACATCATACTTCACTGGCCCTGCAAAATATCTATATCAAAATACACATCGGTCAGAATCGGTGTGATGTTTGGCAATTGAAGATGGTAAGTTATTGTCACCCCTTGGAAACAACATAAATCAAACAAACATAAAAACTAAGATTTCTATGTTTATTCCTTATATAGAGGTTGGAGAAAACATTGCTCTAATGTGCAGCTCACTTCTAGAGCATTTGTATTGTAACAGTTCCTAACCTCTTTTGCGCAAAGCTATTAATATTTTTTATAAAGCGATCTTCATGTGTCAAGGGATAGTAAATGCCACGCAACTTTTGCGGAGGGTCTTTTAACACTTTAATAATTGACTTCATCATATTCACGTGCATTAAATAAAGAATACATTTTCAGCTAGCCAGTCGGAATTGCATTAACAATATATTACTGGCCCGATGCACTATCAGCTAGCATTTGCCTAGCGAGCCAGTAGGTATTTTGAACGCTGAGCCACGATGTATTGGATGACGAAGGCAGGAGAGACAATGATGATGTTCTGTGTGTATTGTTCCAGGAACTGCTCTACAACAAGCACCTGTGTCTGGACCCCGCCCGACTGACCGGAATGGGCTTCACATGGGAGAAGCCGGTCTGTGCGTCGACACTCTCAGAGAGGTGGGGACTTAGTCACATTACATTCAGATGGTGTTGAGATTAGATAGCCCTGGACTTCATGTTATATAACATGAACAGGGCTCCAGATACGTTTTCAACATCAGGAGTACGTACTCCATATTTTTTCAATACAGGAGTACTGGAAAACCTTAAGAGTACATTTAGAGTACTGAATGGAATTTAATGGAGTATCAGTAATCTTGTGTTTCGTTTCATATATGCACCACAACATTGCTACGCTTAAGTAGAAAGGTAAAAAAACAATAAAACAATAATGTTTCAGAAAAATACGTCTGTAAATGATTCTAAAACCGTACACCATTGCCGTTGTGCGTATCTTCTACGTTTTCTAAATAATTTCCTACCTTATCGTGCATATTTTTTATATGTACATATGCCGATACGGCCCTTATCTGGAGCCCTGCATGAAGAAATATATTCTATATATGAATATGAATTCCTCTGATAGTATCACATCTGTCCAGTCAAGGTGCTTTATTCAGAAACTGACCAGTTTAATAATGGACCTAGTTTCAGAGTCACATCGTGTTTGGCAGCTTGACTCCTGAATGTATCTAGGGCTTCAGTCCTGCTCCACAACGAAGCACATGTGATACATGTGGTCTCACCTTACACAAAGGAATTTGTTCAAAATTGCCTCTGTCCACCCAGCAGAAAATTGGGTACCTGGTATGATACGATTGTAAACTGAATTTGAACCGGTTGTATTCTCCACAGTGAGTGTTCTTTACTCGTTGACTAGGGGTAATATGCCAGCGCTTAGAGACGAGGGGTAATATGCCAGCGCTTAGAGACGAGGGGTAATATGCCAGCGCTTAGAGACGAGGGGTAATATGCCAGCGCTTAGAGACGAGGGGTAATATGCCAGCGCTTAGAGACGAGGGTAATATGCCAGCGCTTAGAGACGAGGGGTAATATGCCAACGCTTAGAGACGAGGGGTAATATGCCAGCGCTTAGAGACGAGGGGTAATATGCCAGCGTTTAGAGACGAGGGGTAATATGCCAGCGCTTAGAGACGAGGGGTAATATGCCAGCGCTTAGAGAATGCAATGTGCCAAATTTGATAGGTGTAATCAGGACGTAAAGGCCTTGATGGAGTTCGAAAACGGAAACAATGTTACGATTTGTTACAGAGTTATGCCCTTGTCATACTTTTCCCAACTTAGTGCATGGTATCCCCAATGGGGACAGATTTTCTCAGAAACGATTATAGATGGAGAAACCAAATGTAGTATGTGTTTTCAGGACATGAATACCTTGATGTGTTTTGAAAACGGAAACCATGTTACGATTTGTTACAGAGTTATGCCCCTTGTCATACATTTCCCAACTTAGTGCATGGCATCCCCAATGGGGACAGATTTTCTCAGAAACGATTATAGATAGAGAAACCAAATGTAGTATGTGTTTTCAGAATATGAATACCTTGACATATTTCAAAAACGGAAACCATGTTATGATTCTTTACAGAGTTATGGCCCTTGTCATGTGTTTCTGGACTCAGTGTACAGTATCTCCAATGGGGACAGATTTTCGCAGATACAGTTATAGATAGGGAATCCAAGTTTGATAGGTCACTATGGTGTTTTCAGGACATGAATGCCTTGATGGAGTTCAAAAACGGAAACCATGTTACAATTTGTTACAAAGTTATAGCCCTTGTCATGCGTTTTTTAACTTAGTGTACGGTATCCCCAATGGGAACAGATTTTCTCAAAAACCGTTATAGAAGGGGAAACCAAATGTGGTATGTGTTTTCAGGACATGGATGCATTGATGGAATTCGAAAAATGAAACCGTGTTACGATTCTTTACAGAGTTATAGCCCTTGCCATGCGTTTCTTGACTTAGTGAACGGTATCCCCAATGGGAACAGATTTTCTCAGTAACAGTTACAGATAGGGAAGCCAAATGTTGTATGTGTTTTCAGGACATGAATGTCGTAGTGGAGTTAAAAAACAGGAACCAAATAAGAACAGAACACTGTGGCGGGGGATATTGATGACCATGTCTTCTTGTTTATTATATCTTGAATCATACCTGAGAAACTCACCCCCAATTGTACATTTCAGGTGTTGGATGACTTCATCAAGATGGGTCTGTTTCCAACATCGCTGCTGTCGGGGGAGGTGTTCTACAGTCAGCCCGTCGAGGACCTGGTGGATGGGGAGGGAGGCGAGGGAGACACTGGTTGATGCGCACCGCCTCGTCGTAGTACAACCACACAAGATGTAGATGTTTTACTGTCACGTGGGATGATATCTGATTTATACACTGGCTTTTGTATATGTTGGTATGTTGTGTATACTTTGATACTGTGTGCATGAAATGATGACAGGTTGCCTAGCAACTGAAATATTTGTCACAGAAGCTTGTGAAAGTCTATGTTTACTGATGTTACGCATCGATTCCAAAACAAGATTTTGGATAAGACTCTTGTCTACGTCAATGTTTTGCCATGTGTGTTCAGTTTGAAAGCCTACACATTTTATGTATGTTACTCAATATTTGCTAAGGATCTCAGATTTGACTTAAAAGGACTTGGTCCTTAGCAAATGTTGGTCACATAGTGATGATATTAAGATAGAATGTGGCATATACATCAATGTTATTGCAATAACTGTGTGGTTCGTTCAGTGGTTTAGTGTTACTGGTCTCGGACGCTCCTGCACACACTGCAGGCTGGATAAGTTGACAAACACTGGTACTTGGAGTATCAGTGCCCTTTGCCGTCAACATGACCAAGCAAATATAGTTCCAAAGAAAATGAAAACCTACTTTCATTTTGTAGAAATTACAAGTGATCCTGTCTAATTTCAGAACACACATTTTAAATTTACATGCATTCCTGTAACACATTGGGAGAAAGATATCACATTGAGGAAATATGATATCACAGAGGGAAACGTATCTCATCGGGGAAAGTAATACATGACCAGGGGGAAAAGTAAGATATCAGCTGAGGAGGCAGTAAGATATCACTTCAAGAGAAAATATAATATCACCTCAAGAGAAAGTAAGATATCACCTCAGGAGAAAGTAAGATATTACTTCAGGAGAAAGTAAGATATTACTTCGGGGGAAGGTAAGATATTACTTCCGGAGAAGGTAAAATATCACTTCAGCAGAAAGTAAGATATCACATACTGGTAGGTAGAAAATAAAACATTGCTTCAGAAAATATTAAGATATAACATGGGCACAAAGAAAGATATCATTTCAGGGGCTAGTAAGATATCACATGGGAAGAAAGTAAGATATCACACAGGTATAAAGTAAGATATCACACAGGTAGAGAGTAAGATATCACATTGGAAGAAAGTAAGATAACACACGGGTAGAAAGTAAGATATCACATGGGAAGAAAGTAAGATATCACATGGGAAGAAAGTAAGATATCACACAGGTAGAGAGTAAGATATCATGGGAAGAAAGTAAGATAACACACGGGTAGAAAGTAAGATATCACATGGGAAGAAAGTAAGATATCACACAGGTAGAAAGTAAGATATCACACAGGTAGAGAGTAAGATATCACTTCAGGAAATATTAAGGTAATTCAGGAAATATCAAGGTATCACCTTGGCAGACAGATATACCACATGGGAACAAGCAAGGTTATACACATAGATAAACATTGCCATTCAGGGGAAAGTATGGCACAACAAGAGGGACAAAGCATTGTTTGGAGAAAGTATGATAAATAAAACATTGCTTCAGAAAATATTAAGATATAACATGGGCACAAAGAAAGATATCATTTCAGGGGCTAGTAAGATATCACATGGGAAGAAAGTAAGATATCACACAGGTATAAAGTAAGATATCACACAGGTAGAGAGTAAGATATCACATTGGAAGAAAGTAAGATAACACGGGTAGAAAGTAAGATATCACATGGGAAGAAAGTAAGATATCACATGGGAAGAAAGTAAGATATCACATGGGTAGAAAGTAAGATATCACATGGGAAGAAAGTAAGATAACACACGGGTAGAAAGTAAGATATCCTATGGGAAGAAAGTAAGATATCACATGGGAAGAAAGTAAGATATCACACAGGTAGAGAGTAAGATATCATGGGAAGAAAGTAAGATAACACACGGGTAGAAAGTAAGATATCACATGGGAAGAAAGTAAGATATCACACAGGTAGAAAGTAAGATATCACACAGGTAGAGAGTAAGATATCACTTTAGGAAATATTAAGGTAATTCAGGAAATATCAAGGTATCACCTTGGCAGACAGATATACCACATGGGAACAAGCAAGGTTATACACATAGATAAACATTGCCATTCAGGGGAAAGTATGGCACAACAAGAGGGACAAAGCATTGTCTGGAGAAAGTATGATATCATAGTATGTTGTAGTACAGTCTGACACCGGAGGGAATGTTTCCACTGGCTACAAATGTATATTTAATGTTTACAATGTATTCTTACAACAAAGTTTATTTTAACAGCTTAAATGTTTAAATATTCCTGTAATGCTATTACATAGCAGATATGACCATATCAGAGCAAGCATATCAAGTGATATGAAGTATATCAAATTCCATATTTACTTAATCTTGTTGACCACTATGTAAATGTTTGAACTGTACTATTTATATTTTGCTTGTTGTTTGGACACATTTTATCTTTGAAGTATTTCATTATATTTTTGTACAGTGCTATTTGTGTAACATAAGTGTTTGGTACAATTACGTGATTGGACGGATAGTTGCAAGACAAGTCCAAAGAGATTATATATCACCTGTTGGGGTAGTCTAATGGTTAAAGGGCTTGCTCGTCACAGTGAAGGCCCTGGTTCAATGCCCCACATGGGTACAATGTGTGAAGCCCATTTCTAGTTTCCCCTGCTGTGATGTTGCTGGAGTATTGTTGAAAGCGGCGTAAAACCATTCTCACACCCTCAACTAACAAAGATGTGAAGCCCATTTCTAGTTTCCCCTGCCGTGATGTTGCTGGAATATTGCTGAAAGCGGCGCGTAAAACCATTCTCACACACTCTCTCAACTAACAAAGACTTTTGCAGTGAAAGAATTTAATGTTCTCTTCAAACTGTTAGTGTGAATAGCTACAAAATTTCTGATGCGACTTAAAGCAATGTTTACACACTCTCAACAATGGTCATTCCAGTTATTGAGATTTGACAACTTAAAGAATTGAACCATATAACCGAAAAAGGTCCTACAGCTTCTATTCATTAAATTCTATCCAGGTTTTGAGTAGATCTATAGCTGCAGTCCATCTTTACCTCTTTGGAAAAACGCAGAAAACTCTTTGAAGAAAATTGTGAGCACATCTACAAACACCTGAGTGTAAGTTGCCCATATTTATTGGCCTGTATAGACTTGCACAGATGAAGAAAATAGTAACTTTTGTTAAAGCTACCAATGATACATACTTTCTGGTGTTCTCTGTAACAGGAGGGTGGGGTAGCCTAGTGGTTAAAGCGTTGGCTCGTCACGCTGAAGACCCGGGTTCGATTCCCCACATGGGTACAATGTGTGAAGGCCATTCTGGTGTCCCTCGCAGTGATATTGCTGGAATATTGCTAAAAGCGGGATAAATTCATACTCACTCACTCTGAGTAACAGGGGGCGTAGGGGTAGCCTAGTGGTTAAAACGTCCGCTCGTCACGACCAGGTTCGATTCCCCCACATGGGTACAATATGTGAAGCCTATTTCTGGTGTCCTCCGCCGTGATATTGCTGGAATATTGCTAAAAAGCGGCGTAAAACCATACTCACGCACAGGCTAGATGTATCACCAATATCCCAGGGTACCTTTATACTAAACAACCATAGCACTACGACTGTCGTAGGTATACGAGTTACGACCACCGTAACACTAAGGACACTCTGTACAGCGGCATCCTGTCAGGCACAACGGTAGACTGTCATCTAGTCTCTGAAAAGAACATATACTTACATCAAAGCAGTTCCTGAATTATATTAACCCATGAAGGTCCGGGTTAGAACTGATCTTCAGTAACCCATGCTTGTGAGGCGACTCACAGGATCGGGGGTCAGGTTTGCTGAATTATTTGGTTTAGAGAACGACGGTCCGTTCATCAAAGGTAAATGATGAGGATTATAAAAATTTCCGTCATGGAGGTGGTGGTGTTTAATCATCAGATCGGTTCATAACAGACAATGGAGTATGATGTAAATATTATTTGCTTTTGTGATGAAATAGTGCTCCTGAAGAATACAAGAGGGTCATATTCGTGTAGCTTACGACTCACGTTGCAACAAGACAAGAGGGCCATATTCGTGTAGCTTACGACTCACGTTGCAACAAGACAAGAGGGTCATATTCATGTAGCTTAACAGTCATATTGCAACAAGACAAGAGGTCATATTCGTGTAGCTTAACAGTCATATTGCAACAAGACAAGAGGTCATATTCGTGTAGCTTAACTGTCATATTGCAACAAGACAAGAGGTCATATTCGTGTAGCTTAACAGTCATATTGCAACAAGACAAGAGGTCATATTCGTGTAGCTTAACAGTCATATTGCAACAAGACAAGAGGTCATATTCGTGTAGCTTTGCAGCAAGACAAGGGTCATATTAGGTGTAGCTTAACAGTCATATTGTAACAAGACGAGGTCATATTCGTGTAGCTTAACAGTCATATTGTAACAAGACAGGGGTCATATTGGTGTAGCTTAACAGTCATATTGCAGCAAGATGAGGGTCATATTCGTGTAGCTTAACAGTCATATTGTAACAAGACAAGAGGTCATATTCGTGTAGCTTAACAGTCATATTGCAACAAGACAAGAGGTCATATTCGTGTAGCTTAACAGTCATATTGCAACAAGACAAGAGGTCATATTCGTGTAGCTTAACAGTCATATTGCAGCAATACAAGAGGGTCATATTCGTGTAGCTTATCTGTCATATTGCAACAAGACGAGATCATATTCGTGTAGCTTATGACTCACATTGCAACTAGACAAGAGGTCATATTCGTGTAGCTTAACAGTTATATTGCAACTTCACTATCACCGTGTGTCAGAGGCCCAGATAAGCTGCATATCCGGGCAAAAAAAGGCATAGAAAATTTCCAATTATGCATTGAAAAATAATTGTTGCATACCAATTACGCATTTAAAATGTTAGATACGCAAAAAGTTTAAAACAAATGCGTACAGAATATATTTCTAAAAATTGCTTGCGTAATGAAAATGACATCGATTGCTATCAAGTTATACTGTTAGTATAGGACAAGTGTTGTACTGTCAGTATAGGATGAGTGATTTTTTATGAAATCATTTCCATTATACTTGTACTGCTACTAGTTTTTACTTCTTTTCCTTGACTCTTGTATGCGCTATGAGCACGCCCCAGTGGAGTTTGGCGCCATATAAATGGACATTATTATTATTATTATTATTATTATTATTATTAAGTTGGTTTTGATTAGGGTATGACATCAGGCAGAACATACCTGCTAAGTAAACTTACTCAATGACGTAATACTTAGGTGAGTAAAATGACTGAAATACGCACATATTTGAAAGCAGTGGGTAACGGAAAATGAAATACCCACTCAAAATGAAATACCCACTCCAAGAAAAACATTACCCACATGAGCTAATACCCACTGTTAAGAAAATACAGTGGGTACAGTACCCACATGAGCTAAATCTTATGTGGAGCTCTGGTGTGTTGTTAGAGATGTGGTCCATATGCTTCCACTATTGCCAGTATTACCTGAAACTCCTGATGCAGTAGTCATAGACAATATTCATGTCTTGCTGTTGTGAAGATATTCCAATTTACAGTTCCATATAGCTGACATTTTGGCGTTCCCCACTGCAATGTTGCTTGAATATTGCTAAAAGCGGTGTAAAACCTGACTCACTCACTCATGTTCGTGGACGTTTATTCATCACTCGTGTTGTAGGCCTTTTAACCCTGAACAGTCATAGAGTAGTCCTTTGGCCTTGACCTTTATGTCAGTCTTCATGGTGTAGTCTGTAGACCTTGATATTGAACATCCACGTGTTTCACGTCTACTTTCAGTCAACATTAATGTGGTTCACC